TTTTTGTTTGTTTTGGGAGTTGTTGTTGGTACATATAGTTTGATGACTCTTTTGACTCCAAATTAAAATATGTTGTAATGGTCTTCAACAGTATTGCAACCAGTGAATAGAGATTGCCAATCAAGGGATAAGAGATCGTTATCTATAAGATCATAGTTGCCTTTTTGGAAGTTATAATTGGGGATTGCGTCATTGTGATGATTTTCGTGTGGGAGTATGTTGAGACAAAAGTCAATCATATTGTGTTCACTGTTGGAAAAGGGTTCTTTAGTTTATATTCCATAAATTAAATTCAAACTATTGCAGAAGATAACATCGAGGCAGTTGTTTAGTCTAGCATTGTTGATTACTAGTTGTTCCAGTCCCAGATTTGTAATAGCATTGTAGAAGGTTGCATGTATGGGTTCAGTTGTACATTTGTTTAGGGTCCAGTCAATATGAAGTAGATTGAAGTCACCAAGAAAGATAAAAGCATGTGGGCAGGATGTTTCCCATGTTAGTAGTGAATTTAGCTTGTTTACATGTTCGATGTCATAATCAGATGCTCTGTAACATAGTAAGAATCGAAATGTGATATTTAAGGATAGTTCACAGATGATTAAGGATAGTTCACAAATTGTCTTCTTCTACAACAACAGAATCTATAGCTGGGCTGCAAAAATCTGCATGCCCACCAGAGAGCAGTAAATATTTTCAATCCCTTGCCCTCTTCTCTTTGCTGCCAGCTAGTGTTTGCCTGCATTTGCGCAGCTCAAATATTTTTCATCTACCACATTCCTTCAGAGATAACTGTCTGGGACTAAAGGTCAAAGAAGCCGGGTTGGGCCTAAAACCCAAGATAGATGAGCTTACCATTTTCTTTTGCCTCCATCCCAGTTTCTGATATTCCTTTGCCTCCACTCATTATCTTCCCCTTCCCCAAGAAACAATTAGGCTGGGAAAAATCCAATTTTGTCTATATCAAAATACTGGTTGACGTTCATCCTTCCAGGCTAATAGAAATACTGGTGTGACACCTGTGCCCTTTAAAGCTTCCTTCTTATCTGTCATCAAGCTACTCTGGAAGGAATTTGGTGTGATACAATTACTTATATGAATGTAGCATGCATAATCCCGTGAAGACAGATAACTTTTGTACAAATACTCACCCCAAGGTGCTATGATGATTGTAGAAATTGCTAAAATAAACTTGGAATAGAACTCTCTGATAACAGCTGTGCAACTAGAATGACGTCTAAACAAGTCTTACTTAATTTACCATTGTTTCTGTTGGAGTCACTGAAACTTGGTTGGTGAAGAACATTTCTTACAAAGTATGATGTTAATTTTTTTATTCACAATTTTCTAGTTGCATCAAAGTTATGTCCACTTGGTCCTCGGGAACCAAGACCAAGTGATATTGTCTGTCAAGGTCTGGCATTTCGACTCCCAAGTATTGAAGTATATAAGTAATATAATGATTATAAGATCAGGGACCAACAACATTTAGAAATGTGCAACACAAAGATAAAATCAAAGGAATGAGATTAAACATTAAGATATAATACATATATACATACATATGCTTGTGTGCATGCGAATTACTATTAAAACTCTCACCTCTAATCTTACTTTTGTGTATACTTGCTATCTTAGTATTTAATCTCACCCCTTTGATTTTACTTTTGTGTTGCATATTTTTTTAAATGTTGCTGGTCCATTACTAAATATAATATATATATAATAAATATAAAATAAAATGTAACATATACTACTATAATTGTATATTCATTAGCAGTACAGATCTAAAGTATTACAACTTACAAAATAAAAGTGCATATCACCTAAAAAAAGATAATTAACACATAATGAACTTGAAGTGGTGAATAAAACAGGTTATCCCTGTGGCCTGTTGTGCCTTATTTTCATCATCGCAACACAGAATCTGACTACCGGGCAAGTGACAAATTATTTTGAATCTTCTAGGAGCTGATTCACATAGAAATAGTCTGACCTTCCTGAGGATTTACCTATTAGGGTCAAATGTAAGCTGACCTGATATCTCCATGGGATTTGCAGTGTAATAGTATGTAAGAAATGGATTCAATTTTCTTGTCACCACCTAGGCAGGTACGCTTAGTTAATGGGATTTTGGAGTGTCTGCCTTGCTGCAATATGATGCTAAGATATTATGTCTGACTTTGAAAAATGGCATCTTCAGCCTGAGGAAAGTTAGATTTTGTAAGTATTTTGCTGGTTCCCCATTGCTCTTGTTTATCCAATTTCTACCATGTTGAGGCAACTTATTAATTTTGGCCTGACTCCATGTTTCTTATTTTTGGGGTGAACAATTTGTTTGGCTTGGCCATACCCTACGCTAAATAAAGAATCATGTGGAAAATTAGGAATTGTGTAGAAACCTCTGCTCCATGGCTGTTTCTGGGAAGAAGGAAAATTATTAAAACTAGAGGAGTCAGTGTGAGCGGAAAGAATTGGATTTTCAGCCGGTACTTTATCCTTCTCCTCCATGTTCCTGTGGGAAATGATCAGGCTGAGCGTAAGGCAGGAGTCAAACAAGTCATCAGTCATGAGACATGGCATGCTCACAAGAGATTTAAGTCCAGCAAATCTTGAATCCCTTTCTATTCTAAACTCCCACTAATTTCCCTTGACTGTTACTAGTTCAGATTCTTGTATAGAGAGATTAAGCTTACCGTAATGTCTGGATCGCCTGATTTGCCTGGTGTTGAGAGTTGCACTTGTGCACCATCAAGGATTTGAGCCAGGGGTTTCAAACTCAAGGCCCATAGGCATGATCTGGCCTGCGGGGTGTTTAGATCTGGCCCATAGATCCACCCTGGAAACAGAAAAGGACTGGCCTGCAGTGCCTCTGCCAGTGAAAAAGGAGCTCGGAAGGGCTGCATGTTATCCGCCCAAGCTCCATTTTCGGCCACAATGGCCTCCTGCCACCTGTGCGCCCCTCCCCCCAGCTCCATTTTCACTGGCAGGAGGCCGTAGCAGATGAAAACAGAGTTTGGGAGCCCATTTTCACTGACAGAGGGTTTGGGCCACCATAGATACCCCTGACACAAGAGACATCAAGCTGGCCACATGCACCCTGGCCATGCCCACACCAGCCCCCCAAGGTCACACACAATCCTCAATGAAATCGAGTGTAACACCCCTGATTTGAGCCAATGACTTGGCCTCAAAAAGTTTTAATATGTCAGGAATTAATTATCTCCCTCCACCCCACAAGACACCCTGTGCTACTTCTCCGGGTCTCTGTTTAATGACCTGTGAGATCATTTAACAACTGCAATCTGGAGTGTCAGGATTGTGATTATTGAGAGAAAAGAGTGATGGAGTGTCTCACTTAATGGCTGTCTCACTCAATGACTGAGATTCTCTGGTGCAAATTGAGGGTTATCTGTAACTCAAATGCATTAAGGAAGCAGCAAATTAAACAGAAGGACAAATGTTTGATTTAAAGTATTTAGTGTCAACGTATCTGATTTGGACACAAAACCATCAGAATAAGCGCCATAAATAGTAGTGAGAGGAGGCAGGAGCATTAAAAATATAAACCAGTATTAGAGCAAATGCCTTTGATTTTGTGCCAAGATCTTGACCTAGTGGCAATGCCCCTATAGGTAGCTTCTTGGGATTCATAGTGCCAATGGTGTAAGTGAAGAGGTGGTAGGCTAGCTGGTATTCCATTTAAGAAGCAGAGCTTTTATCCAGCTAAAATTTCTTTTTATATGTCCATTAAATTTTTACGATCTTTTCACAGCCTCTAAAAAAGCAGTAAAATTAAGATGCCTCGTTCAAAAGGTAGTGAGAATAACAATGTAGAGAAATAGATGGGTGACAAGGCCCTTATACTTTTAATAGTTTTAAAACATGTAGACTCTGGAGGTTTTTCTTTAAATGCCAGGTGATAACCTATGGCTAATATGAATGATTACTCAGAATGACTGACGTGTAGGTGGAAGTCAGGGTTTTCTCTTTAGAGACTGATTTGTAAGGAAGTACAAGCCAACTCTAACCTGCCTTTGCATATCTGGCTCATTAAGAATAGACTGGCTTTTGACTTACCAAGGATGTGTATGCTCTCCAAGGAACCTTGGCCATCTTATAAAATAACTTAAGCTTTTGAGATCTGGACAAGGTGAAGTTTTCCTAAATTTGGTCTTACAGCCCTCTTTATGCTTTGCAGGGTATCGTTTGTCAACATTATTCAGCATTAATATGCAAAGTCAAGATTGCTTTGAGCTTTTTTTTAATGAATAGTGACTTACTTATTTCCATATCCATGGAATACAAGTTGAACTTTTGGAAAATAATTATTGAAACGTGTGCTATTGTGAACAGATGCCAACCTGACTTCTCAACTGATCAGATTTGCTCCTATTCCCTTTTATAAAGGCAAAAATGAGTTACCCTTGTTTACCTCAATACCCTCATACCTGGTGCAAGAAGATTTTAAGTAGCATTTAAGTGACAAATGTGATTTTTAAAATATGCTAAAATAGACTTAAGCTAGTGGGGATCTTCCTAATCATTCTGGAGGTACCAATAGAAGGGAATATTTTGGTAACCCAGTTGGGCAATGCAACATCTGCAAGAAAAGAACCGAAACTTGAAAAATACCAAGTGATTAGTAGATTAGCAGAAGATCCTATCTGTACCCCGTTTACATACTTGGCCTTTTTAAACCCAGTTGTTGTTAATTTTAGTGTTTTAACATACATTAAAGCAGTAGTTAGTAGATTAGCAGAAGATCCCACCTTTACCCAGTTTACATATTTGTCCTTTTTAGATCCATTTTGCTGTTAATTTTAATGTTTTAACATTTAATGTTCAATGTTTATAATGTTTTTTTATATTGTTACCGGTATTTTATGACGTAAGCTGCCCAAGTTGCTTGATAATAGAATAAATATAGAGCAGCACCGAGCAGAGCAGAGAAGAACAGAACAAAACAGAACAGAATATAATAATAGCATAGCATAGCACAGAACAGAACATAATAGGATAGTATAGCATAGAACAGAACAGAACAGAACATAATAACAGGATAGGATAGGATAGGATAGGATAGCATAGAACAGAACAGAACATCATAATAGGATAGCATAGCATAGCATAGAATAGAACAGAACAGAATAATAGGACAGCATAGCATAGAATAGAACAGAACAGAACAGAATATAATAATAGAATAGCATAGCACAGCATAGCATAGAATAGAACAGAACAGAACAGAATATAATAATAGGACAGCATAGCATAGAACAGAATAGAACAGAACAGAACATAATTATAGGACAGCATAGCATAGAATAGAATAGAACAGAACAGAACATAATAATAGGACAGCATAGCATAGCACAGAATAGGACAGAACAGAATATAATAATAGGACAGCATAGCATAGAACAGAATAGAACAGAACAGAATATAATAATAGAATAGCATAGCATAGCATAGCATCGCATAGCATAGAATAGAATAGAACAGAACAGAACAGTTTTATTTGACTAAGTGTGATTAGACAAACAAGGTCATATGGGCGGCATATAAACTTAACAAATAAAATAATATGTAACATGAAGTCCATTACATTGTCCTATGCATATACTACGAGCCTGTGGCCAAATGTGAAATAAGTAAAGCCTTGAAACTTGCTTTCTCCTTATTGCCTTAATTTATGTGTCAGCCTCTAGTGAGAGACGCCCATTTTGGAAAAATCAAATCAGATGTATGACAAATATGTTCAAACAACACAGCCAAATAGTGGCGAATATACCTTGCAGGGTTAAAGGATCAGTATCAGCCCTTTAAAAATGCACTGGTTATTTTCATTTCAGTCTGTTTTCTGACAAAAAATGCTCTTTGAGGAGTAATGAAGAAGACAGGGGCTGTAGGGCTGTGCGTGGTTATAATTCAGGCCTTGTGATTTTAAATGCTTGTTCAGCCACGAAATGCACTGGGTGGCTTCAGGCCAGCCATTGTCTCTTCAAATAATTCCTGTTGCATAGTGATTGCTGTAGGACCTTTTTCAATTTTGTTTTTTTTTCCTTGTACTTGTAACATGGCGAGAGAAACGAATCTTGCAAGTTTACCAGACGGATAGTCTAGGGAACAAAGCTGTTGCAGCAGGCCTGTTAAACTCCTGGCCTGTGGGCCGGATGTGTCACGCGCTGGGCATGCCCACGCCCGGTTTAGCAAAGGAGGAAAAAAGTCCCGATATGTCATGTGACACCGCTGTAATGACATGAGCTTGACACCGCTGTGTTACAGAATCTGGTAATTCCTGCTAGAAATACTTTGCAACCTCCTTCCAGAGGGGAGCAACAGAAACAGACCATGAAGTGGGTGCATGCTTTGAGTTCTAAGCACATAGCGCTTATAAGCGGTATCCTGAATAATGGGAAATGAACTTCCATCCATATGGCTCCTATGGCACCTTTCCATTGTTTGACAAACATACAACAGACACTTGATCCCTATTTACAACAAATAACCTGTGAAGATGCTCACAAACATGTCTACTTATCTTGAGAAGCAACTAAGTATAAATTCTGCAACACCCATGCCCTGTTTCCCTGGAGAACGGAGGGTGTTATAGATGTCTTTGTTTTTCAGATTAAAAGTATATAAAATGTTATTACCTATTATATGAACACATTTAGTCTTTGCAATGGTGAGAGGATCTCAAATTCCAGGCGAAGGGAATTGGTCAAGCTAGAAGTCAACACAATCCCAAGGCTTTTCCTTTTAATTTCCTTGGCAACCGTAGCCATGGTTACCAGCATCTGTTTGAAGATGTAAGGGGCAAGCCAGTTCAATAGCAGCAACCAAGCCCATGTATTAATATAATTATTTTATAATGTGTTGTTTTTAATTAAAAAAAATGTTTGGGACCAATCTGATTTTTAAAAAGATGAGATGAAATTAAGCGAGGACCAAGTTTTGGATGGAAAACTACAAATTAGCAGAGAAGCTCTCTACTTACAGTCATTCCTTTACCAACCTTTTGAATTTACGAGAGTACTTGAATGCCCTCACGCTTATGGCCACTGCAGGTCAAAATTCAGCTGCTTGGCAACCAGCATGACTTCACAACAATTGCTGTTGATTGTCAAGGTGACTCCTTGCTAAAACGATTCATTTTTAAGAACTCCAGTGATGTGCTTAACAACCATTTGAAAAGTTGTAACAAAAAAGGGCATAAAATCGGGTACGACTCCCTTAGCAATCACCTTACTTAGCAATAGAAATTATAGAATAGAATAACAGAGTTGGAAGGGACCTTGTAGGTCTTCTAGTCCAATCCCCTGCTTAGGCAGGAAACCCTACAGTACTTCAGACCAATGGTTATCCAATCTCTTCTTAAAATCTTCCAGTATTGGTGCATTTACAATTTCTGGAGGCAAGTTGTTCCATTGATTAATTGTCCTCGTTGTCAGAAAATTTCTCCTTAGTTCTAGGTTGCTTCTCTCCTTGATGAGTTTCCATCTGTTGCTTCTTGTCCTGCATTCAGGTGCTTTGGAGAATAGCTTGATTCCCTCTTCTTTGGGGCAGCCCCATAGATATTGGAAGACTACTATCATGTCACTCCCCTAGTCCTTCTTTTCGTCAAATTAGACCTGCCCAGTTCCAGCAACCGTTCTTGATATGTTTTAGCCTCCAGTCTCCTAATCATCTTAGTTGCTCTTCTCTGCACTCTTTCTCAAGTCTCAACATCTTTCTTACATCGTGAACGCAAGAAATGGGCTTCTTCATCTTGCAATCTACTTGCACTTAAAGGTGCTACATAACCTACTAAAATTGCTTCAAAGGCTAAAGTGTGGCTCACAGTAAGCTGTCTCTGCTTCTCCTCCTCCTCCTCCTTTTGGAGACAGATTTTCTAGAAGAAAAAAAGGCTACAGAGATCTTAAGCCTTTTCCTTTGCTTTATATTCTTCCTCTTGAATGGACAATTTAGTGCCTCAGCTGATGTGACCTCCTATTTAGTTCAGTCCAATTTTCTCCTCCATCCATCCATGAGGTCAAAACCTAGAGAGGAGCTATCAAAGGAAGAAAGAGAGAGAGAGAGAGAGAGAGAGAGAGAGAGAGAACAAGTGCATCATTTTGGATGAGATTTCACGTTTCTTTTTCTTTTGTTTGGCTCTTCTGTTCCACCCCTTCTCCCCTACTGCCCTGTGACTTGCGCTCTCTGCTGTCTCACTCATTAATAAATGCTAGCTATAGTTCTAACAGTGCGTGGGAACGATCAGCTATCAGACTTCACAGGATCGATCCCAAGTTTTCGTCTGTCTGGGCCTGGCTTGCATGCTTCACTCTTTAGATGAGCAAAAGGAACTCTCTGACTGGGTTTTCAAGGGCTGGGTTAGATCTGGTTGAGGCACAGATTAGATTAGATTAGATTGGATTAGATTAAATTAGATTAGATTAGATTAGATGGTCAAAGAAGGGGCATAGTCTTCAGTATACCTTCTCAGCTTGCAAATAAATTCCAGATGAATGAGATGCATTTGCAAATAGCAAGGATCTGAGACTTAAGATTCTATAGGAAATTGCCAGCATTTTGAATTGGACCCAGAAGCAAACCAGCAGCTAGTATAGTTTACACAATATTTGTGCTATTCTGCTATAACAGCTTCTTCCTGTACTTTGCATCAGCTATAACATCCAAGCAACCTTCAAGTCCCAGATAGAGCAAATTATAGTAGTCCAATGCAAGATGATAACTGCATGAGTCATTGTGGTCAGATAATAGATAAACAGAGTTAGAAGGGACCTTGTAGGTCATCTAGTCCAACCCTCTGCCCAAGCAGGAGACCCTACACCATTTCTGACAAATGGCAGTCCAATCTCTTCTTGAAAGCCTCCATTGAGGAAGGTCTCACAACTTCTGAAGGCAATTTCTGTTCCATTGGTTGATTGTTCTCACTGTCAGAAAATTTCTCCTTATTTCCAGGTCGAATCTCTCCTTGTTCAGTTTCCACCCACTGGCCTTCAGGTGCTTTAGAAAATACCTTGACCCCTTCCTCCCTGTTGCAGCCCCTCAAATATTGGAAAACTGCTATCCTGTCTCCCCTGGTCCTTCTCTTCACTAGACTAGCCATGCCCAGTTCCTGTAACCATTCCTCATATATTTTAGTCTCCACTCCCCTAATCATCCTGGTTACTCTTCTCTGGAATCTTTCTAGAATCTCAATGTATTTTTTATAATGTGGTGACCAAAACTAGATGCAGTACTCTAGGTGTGGTCTTATTAGGGCTTTATAGAGCGGTATTAGTACCTCACTTGGTCTTGATTGTATCCCTCTGTTAATGCAACTTAGGATTTTGTTGGCTTTTTTGGTTGCCTCCACACACTGCACAAATCATGCTTGGTTCATGTTTGCGGAGCTTTTCATTTCTTAACTATTTTGGCACCCAAGTTAAAACTGAGTTCAAAACTTTTGTTTTATGTCCCCAATTTAACTTATTCCATTGATCTCTCTATGTTTTAATTCACAGCCACCTCCACAGATCTATGACAAGCAGTTGGATGAAAGAGAACACACAATCGAAGAGTGGAAAGGTAATTATTTTTTAACCCATACAAGGTATAGGATCTGATTCTGCACTTGATATCTGTCCTTGACTCTTGGCTTCTCCACCTCCTGGTGCCTCCTGCACTCCATGGGGATTGAGTATGCACTCGGAGCATGTTCAGTAATTCTTGAGAAGTTTGAGAATGTGTTGGAATATTAGTCACTCGGGTTGGCAGTTAGGGTGTTGGTTTGAGCGCCGAACTTGGCAATTTTTTTTTTTTTTTAGCCTTTTCTACTTTCATTTGGGACATTTAGGAAGATACAATGAGTTGGCCTAATGTCTTCGCAGAAGAAACACGTGATCACAAGAAAGCTGTCATGTCATAATCAGAACCAGTCCTACCATTGGGCATAGTTGATCATAGATTCAGGCATCAGATGCTGAATTTCTTATTACTAAATTTCTAATTACTCCCTTAGTAATGCTATAGTTACTGTAGGACAGAATTGTGTTCACTATGCAACCTGCACTGGATTCCTAAATGGTTTTCAGATGCAATACAGATAGTCCTCGCTTAGTGACCGATCGAAGTTACAACTACCCCCCAAAGGTACTTACAAACTGGTTCCTGAGTTCCAGCTGCTGCCTCATTGCCCCACTGTGGTCATAGGATCGCATTTTGAGCGCTTGGCAATTGGCTCACATTTATGGATGTTTGCAGCATCCCACAATCACCTGACCACAATTTTGCTGGTTTCCGGCATTCCCTTCTGGTTTCCAGCAAAAAAAAAACCCTTTGGATAAAATGGATTCATTTAATGGCCACTGCATTTGCTTGATGGCTGTGATGTTCATTTAACAACCATGGTATTCACTTAATGACCATCATACAAAGGTCACAAAATCATGGGGCCATCATGTGGTGATCCACTTAACTACCATACAACTTGGTAGTATGGTACAGACTGGAGAGTAATTCCAGGCTTAATAATGGTTGTAAGTCGAGGATTTGTTATATAATTATCATACTATGCAATAGCTGGTGCTGAATTACAGTCCCCCTGCTCATCCAATTGGTTTCAGCAGGCGTGGTACAGTGGTGGGATTCAATTATTTTTTTACTACTGGTTCTGTGGGTGTGGTGCGGCTTGGTGGGCATGGCTTGGTGGGCGTGGCAGGGGAAGGATACTGCAATATCCCCATTGCCTCCCCACCTCATTAACCTGCTTTCCAGCTCCGTTCTCCTGGGCAGGACAACAAAAGACGACCCAGCCGATCAGCTGGGACTCAATGGGAGGCAGAGAAGAGATGAGGGCAGGCCCAGCCAGTCAGAGGTGGTATTTGCTGGTTCTCCAAACTACTCAAAATTTCCACTACCGGTTCTCCAGAACTGGTCAGAACCTGCTGAATACCAGTTCTGTTGTAGGGATGGAGGTTTTATGCCATAATATTTAATATGTATAATATTAAAAACAATATTTCTTGAGATGTTGGGCATTTCCTTAACAGATTTAATGAACAAGCCATCTAAGTCTGTGACAATCAAACCAAGGTTCCAGGAAATTAAACTTAGGCTCATCGGAGGCCCTTTCTAAGAAATTGTTAGTGCATCAGAATCACTGTGAAGTTTTGCAGGCCAAAAGACAGGTACAGATAGTCCCCAACTTATGACCACAATTGAGTTCCAAATTTCTGCTCCTGAGCAAGACATTTTTTAAGTGACCGTTTCCCCATTTTACCACCTCTCTTGCCACTGTTGTTAAGCAAATTGCTGCAGTTGATAAGTTAGTAATCCGGTTGTTAAGCGAATCTGGCTTCCCCCACGGACTTTGCTCCTCACAAGGTCGCAAAAGAGAATCACGTGACCTTGGGACACTGCAACCGTCATAAATATGAGGTGGTTGCCAAGTGTCTGAATTTTGATCACGTGACCATGGGGGTACTGCAACGGTCATCAGTGTGAAAAATTGGTCATAAATCACTTTTTTCCCATGCCGTTGTAACTTTAATGTGTCATTAAATGAACTGTTGTACGACAAGGGAGACCTGTAATTCCTTGGTTCTTCAAGGCAGTCGACTTGGGCAAGACTAGGATAGATGATAGCTAGGAAAAACGTAGTTGGCTATTCATTTTAGTGTCCTTGTTTACAAGGTTTTTATTCACTGTCAAGAGCGGTTTTAAACAATATGGGGAAATAATAAAACATCTTTTTAACATGGGGAAGTAATGAAGTATCTTTATAACAAGCTCCTTTATCTCTTGCAGAATTAATCTACAAGGAAGTAATGAATTCCGAAGAAAAGACTAAAAATGGTGTAGTAAAAGGACAACCTTCTCCCTCAGGTACTCAGTCCAAGTGAATGACATATATATTTGTTTTCTTAAATTTTCGTGGGTACTTACATGTATGGTATTCAGCTTTGTTCGGGTATTTTCCCACGTTATTATAGTTGTGTTTTTAAAGTTGTAGCAACGTTTTGGCAGAATCTCAGATGAACACAATACAGAAGCCTGATGATGGCAGATGAGATTCTGCCGAAACGTTGCTACAACTTTAAAAGCACAACTATAATGACGTGGGAAAATACCCGAACAAAGCTGAATACCATACATATAAACCCCTGCAAAAACTTAAGAAAAGAATATATATAAAAGCGAAATACCACTCATGCATCATCACAAAAACTCCAGAACCCTAAAGCCTACAAACTTGAAATTTGGCATGTATGTTCCTCTTGGCTTCTAGGTGCTCGCTAAGAAAGGATTTTTCAAAATGACCATCAGAGCATTAGTATTTCCTATATTATTATTATCACGCTCTGATGCTAAGGAGTTCTACTCCCCCTCTCCACGTGAAAAGAATTCTGCTCCAAATACAAAACACAAGCAGAGGAGAGGAGTTTCAGTTTCAGTTTTTGTTTCACTGCTGCAAGCAGCTTTAGTACAGAACAGCTGAGCTAAGCCACGCCCAGGCTCCTTGCTGTCTCCTTGCTCACATAGCAAATACTGTTTCAGTTTCCAAACAGCCCTCAACTCTCTTACACAGTGACAGGATGCTAGACCGATGAATACCACTGGATGCTGGTAGGCAGAGGCAGAATTTTTTCCTCTTTATTTTCCTCACCAAAAACTAAGCCCGGTCACATAGTTTCGTAGCAAAGCACGCGTATTGAGCTAGTATTTTATATGGTTACAGACCTTAAGACAGATCTTTTCTTCATCAGCATCTAAAAATAGTACCTAAAAACAGTAGATTTCCCTTGATTGGAAGCTAGGATGTATTCCAAGTAATTTTATAACCTTGAACAACTTGGTCCCTTGTAAATATGTAGGGCTGGGCAGATGTGTTTATGGACCCATAATTCCAGAATTCCCAGCTAGTATTTTGAGAAGTTGTAGGATTTGGGTCCCAGATTGGGAAAGGCTGAGATAGAGCACTAGAAGAAGATAAGCTATATTAACTGAACTCAGTTAAAAAAAGAATTGTATTAACTCTCAGCTAATCCGCTTATCTAGGAATAAGCCCTGCAGAATTAATTGGGGCTTACTTCTAAATAACAATATATCAGACTGTACTTATTTGCTTTCAGAACTTTGAATGAATGAAGCTAGTTTTCCCAGGTCATGTATTAATTCAGTGCTCAGTGAAACATTAAGGTTCTGCAGTCACTTCCTTAGCCATCATTAAGGATTTGACAGACGGGTTCGTGGTATCTTGTGTCTATTCCCACACTCATTTTTCCCCCCCGCACTTCAGCTGCAGGTTTATCACATACTTTTCTTTGTTCTCTGTTATTATGTCAGAAATTATTTCTGCAGTGTTTTTTTCTCAATTAATGCCAGGTCTACTCAATATTCAACTTACGTGCTATGCATGTGACGTACCCAGAAGTTCGTTATATCTCTTTTATTTGTTTCTTTGCCTTTGCAATTTGCTAGGAGTATCAAAACTTGCTGTGCTTGTGGGCATGGGTAGAAGATTCAGACTTACCAATTATTTTTTTATTTTTTTTAGAGTTCCCCATCGTGGAAAACATGATGCAAAATTAACATCCGTTTTCGTTTTCTTTGACTCACTAATCTCCCTCCACCATGTTGTTGTTGAGGACAGAAAAGCCAGAAGGAATTTCAGGGTAGATGTCTGGATTAGCATAAACCTTTCAGTCCCGCACATTTGTTTCACTTATGTCAGAAAGGCCATTCAACAAGTCCTTACAGAGCCGAAAAGTGAGGGACGGAATACACAAATTTGATTTAAGAGCTTACTGAGCTGTGGCCCAGCATCATCATTCTTGAAGATGGAGCGGATGTCAAAATAAATCATGGTTCATGGGCAAATTTGTCATAGAAAGCCCTGCCTCTTAGGTGATTTATGGGGAACAATGATAGGATGTGCTTGTAGGGGGAAATAATATAGACAGACTAATTAAACTCAGCTTTCACTTAAAATGGAGGATCGGCCTTATTCCAAACTACTGTTTGTGGCTGGCAAGAAAACACATTATTTTCCTCTTTCCTGATAAACAGAGGACTGTTCTTTTAAACATATCTCACCGATTTCCTTGCAATGAATTGCAAGTAGTCCTTCACTTACAACCAGTGGTAGGATTCAATTTTTTTTACTACTGATTCTATGGGCGTGACTTGGTGGACGTGGCAGGGGAAGGATATACTGCAAAATCTCCATTACCTCCCCACCCTACTAACCTGCTTTCCAGCTCCTTTCTCCTGTGCAGGGCAACAAAAGAAGACCCAGCCAATCAGCTGGGATGCAGGAGGCAGAGAATAGATGGGGGCGTGGCCAGTCAGAGGTGGTATTTGCCGGTTCTCCGAGCTACTCAAAATTTCCTCTACTGGTTCTCCAGAACCTGTCAGAACTGTCTGAACACCACCTCTGCTAAAAGCCATTTTTTTAGTGACAGTCCACAATTACAGTGGCACTGAAAAAAATTGGCATTCATATTTATGACTGTTGCCACGTCCTCATGGTCACATGATCAAAATTCAGGTGCTTGGCAGTTAATATGTATTTATGACAGAATTCAGGTCATAGTTGTCCCAAAGGTGCTTTTTTAAGAGGCCACTGGACTTCCTTTGTTTTTCTTTGAAGACATTTCACTTCTCAGCCGAGAAGCTTCTTCAGCTGGAACTGAAGAAGCTTCTTGAATGAGAAGCGAAACCTCTTCAAAAAACAACAACAAAATCCAAGAAAGTCTCGTGGTCTCTAGAAAAAGCACCTTGGGGACATGTATTTATGAGAGTTGTGCTGTCCTGGGATAATATAATCAACCATTTGTAAACTTCCCAGTTGTCTTCCAACAAGCAAAGTCGATTGGGAGAAGCCTGATTTGTTTAATTAGTGCATGATTCACTTTAACAATTGGCCAATCCCACCTCTGACTGGAGATTTTACGGTATCCTTCCCCTGCCACGCCCACCAAGCCACGCCCACAGAACCAGTAGTAAAAAAACTTTTGAATCCCACCACTGCACCCTGGCCATGCCCACCTCGGACCCCTCCCCAGGTCAAACACCACTCTGACGTGGCCCTCAATAAAATTGCGTTTGATTCCCCTAATCTAAGAAACCAGCTCACCCCGATGGGATTAGCCCAGCCCTTGTCAGCCAAGGAATTTTGGAGTCCAGCAGAAGGGCCTTTTCTGCTTTGGCTCTGGAACGTCTCCTCCCCGAGGTCAGAACCACTTGCAAAAGGCCTTGAAGACACGTCTGTGCCCGCTAGCCTGGAGCCCCAGTGGAGGTGCACGCACTTGGCTAATGGGAGTATAGAATACCCCGCCTCCTCCGTGTGTACATTTTGCTCCTTCCCTCTCCATCCGGCTTAGCTTTACATTAATTGAATTTAAAATGTAAAATCCATATTTATTGTTTTAATGTTTGATAGTGCATTTTAATCTGTGAGCTGCCTAAAGTCGCTTTGGGCAAGATTGGCAACTTGTAACTTTAATAATCAATAGCAATAATAAATAAAATAAAAACCATAAAGAAACATAATAATATCAATAGCACTTACATAACACTTCATAGTGCTTTACAGCCCTCTCTAAATGGTTTACTGAGTCGGCCTATTGCCCCCAACAATCTGGGTCCTCCTTTTACCGACCATGGAAGGATGGAAGGCTTGAGCACTTTCAGGATCGAACTCCAGGCTGTGGGCAGAGTTTCCCCACAATACTGCATTCTAACCACTGCGCCACCAGGGCTCCTAATAATAAATGCATATTGGTCACTTCTCAAGGATGATAGAAAACACAAGACTGGACAACTGAAAAGAACATGGTTTACTTTAAGGAGTTTGTGATTGCAGTGGAAAACCAAAGTAATACATAGCATTTTCTGTTTATTCTATTCAATATTGATGAAATCCAGTAAGGGATGCAACATACATCTCTAAGCAAATCAAATATTGCAATCTCTTGGGCGATAAACATATTAGTTGCATTAATTAATGTAATTAATATTTTAATTACATATTAATCACATACTTCATATTAATTGCATTACATTGGTGTTGATTAACCATATTTAATTATTGATTAATTGCAACTATTTTTTGGTTCATGATAGGAAATCTTCCACCCCCATCCAGATATTTTGGGGGGAATTGTAGCATTTCCCAAATAAATTTTGCTAGAGCCAAAATTCTCAAGCAGATCCCTTTTGTTCCCTCCTTGGTATCCCCACCACTACCCCCATCGTGTAATTGGTCGTCAGAAGTGTGATAACTTGGCTATTAGGCCAAGGACTCTTATGTCTCTTCCTCTTTCTGGTCACTTAATTTCCCCCCTCATTGAGGGCCATGTACCAACAATGTTAAGGATTGAGGAAACCTGTGACAAGACCCCTCCTTTCTTTTCCAACATCCAAACTTCCAGTGAATCAGGATTTGGCATAGGCCAGGGGGTGGGGATCTATGGCCCTTTTATGGCTTGTGGACTTCAACTCCCAGAATTCCTGAGCCAGCCATGTTGGCTCTGGAACTCTAGGAGTTGAAGTTCACAAGTCATAAAGGGGCCATAATTCCCCACCTGTGGCATAGCCAATGTAATTGGCCATTTTTGTTTAGCTTAGACCAGAGGTGTCAAGCTGAAAGCCCAGGGGCGGCATCTGGCCTGTGGGGCTGCCCTGGAAATAGTGAAAGACCGGCCCGCAGTGCCTCTGCTAGTGAAAATGGAGCTCTGTTTTCACTGGCAGAGGTTTCTAAGAGGCCATCTCAGCTGAAAATCAAGCTCGTGTGACCCTCCTCGAGCTCCATTTTCTCTGGCAAAGAGTTGTAGCCAGAAATGAAGCTCGGGAACCTGTTTTTGCTGGCAGAGCACTCGGGCCACTACAGGCGCCCCCTGACACAAGGGATGTCATGCTGGCCACGCCCACCCTGGCCCTGCCCCCCCCCGCCCCCCCCCCCCGAGGTCAGGCACAACCCTGTCATGGCCCTCGATGAAATCGAGTTTGACACACACATCCGGCTTAGAGCCTCTGAGGAGCATCTGTCACTCTCCCTCGATTCACAAAGGTCTAGTTTTCGTCCTTTAGAAAGAGAAATGCCAGGCATCACTGGAGGGCTGGGCTGGCAAGGCACGTGCGTTTATTCTTCTAAAACGAATGTAAAAGAATGAAGTTCCATTCTCCTCGAGCGTTCTCTTGCTTCCAGGTTGAATCACGTCGGTGTTCATTTTCTTAGCACAGGTGCAGCAGTGAACAGCAGCGACAGCCTCCCTCCCTCCTCATCTGTCAATGACATTTCCTCCATGTCCACAGACCAGACCCTGGCATCGGACACCGACAGCAGTTTGGAAGCTTCTGCAGGGCCCCTCGGTTGTTGCAGGTGACTAGCCGCCTGCCTGCGAAACCCGACGTTCTTCAGAAGATGATGCAGTTTGTAGGGAGACAAATCTATGGTGATTAGTGAAAGAATTTGAGGATGGTAAGGAAAAGAGAGAGAGAGAGAGAGAGAGAGAGAGAAAGAGAGAAATCAAAATACACATACTGATTAAGCAAACAAAAAAGTCCCTTTCAGCCTGCTTCTCCTAAAAAAAAAAAAAGAATAGTGTAAATGCAGCTAAGCTCAAGTGTATATTTAACTTATAGTTGCTCTGCTTTGGTCTTCTTCCAATGATGCTTACTGCACAAAATGAGAGAAAGAGAGAGAGAGAGAGAAGGGGGGAAAAATTAAGAAAAAGAGTGAGAAAAGAGGGGGGGAGTTTTAAAAGACATTTTTCTCCCCCCCGTTAAAAATGGCAAAATTTTAATGGTTGTAAAATCAGCAATCTTCAACTGTCCTTTCTCATAATGGCATGACAAGGTGGACAGTCCCCACCCTTTCTGTGTATACGTGTGCTTATTTAACTGCTCTCTGTTTCTGTTTTGGATAAATATACAGAGAACTGCACATGTATCTTGGTGTACATACATACAAATATGCATTTGAAGATACAGTTATACATGAAGCTGTGTGTATGCATAAACCGAAGAAGCAGGAGTCTTTACACGCAGCCTGCCGTGGAGAACAACCTCCTGTTGTTGTGTTTTTTAAATGACATTTTCATCTGTAATTATAATCTCAATGTACAGTACGGCTTGTTTAGTTGTTCCATGGGTTAGTTTAAATTGTTTTATGGCTAAAATCCTACAAAGCTCACTTCTGAGTTGGTATGTGTGGGGGCTAGAAGCTGGAATTGTGTACAATCAGAATCAAAGTGAAGTTTTCTCAAAACCTTGATGAAGTAGCCTCTTAAATTTCAGGGTTGTTTTTAACAGCAGCTTTTGGGGAGGAAAAATATAGGATGGTGATTTCAACCAATTTGTTATTCAGACCCACGAATTGGTTTTTAGAATATTCATCTATGGAAATAGCATGTTTTTCTGTGGACATTGTTAGGAGATAACCCCATTTCTATCGTATTGTTCATGTGAACTTTTTGGAAGCCCTTAGTTGGCTCCTTGTAGATCTTCTAATCCAATGTGTGTCATCTTAAGTCAGAGGACTCCAAATTTGGCAACTTTAAGACTTGTGGACTTCAACTCCCAGAATTCTCCAGCCAGCTATGTTGGCTGGAAAATTCTGGAAGCTGAAGTCCACAAGTCTTAAAGTTGCCAAGTTTGGGGACCCCGCCTTAAGTGAAGAAGAGAGAATTACTAAGCACCACCCTACCTACTGAAAGTGACCATGAATTTTATTGAAAGGTGTTGTATAAAATAGACAAGTAATAACAAGCGTGGATAACTGATCCATAGCCTCAGTCATATCCTTGGACTTATGTCTTGGAAAAAAAGTAGCATACTTCTGTCCTAATTTGGTCTTGGGAAACTAAAATCCATCAAGCATAAACGGTTACAAGATTCCTCTTTGCAGAATTTTCAGCAAACTATCAAATAATTATCAGGTTCTACATCAAGGCAGATTGGATGATTTGCTAGCCAAACATAAGCCTTGGTTTTCTTTCTTAGATCTGAGTAGAACACTATCACAATCTGGAAAAATTTTTAGTAGGGCTGGGCAAACATTTTTTTTCCTGGGCAATAACAGGTACTTATTAGTAAACTACATATTCTGGCTGCATCTTGAACCATATGGTGTATTCCCTAAACGCAGAAACATAATGAAGTCCAATTACAAGAAGATAATATTGCAGGTCTGTTTATTCATAGCAATTTAGCAAGTCTGGAGCAGGTCAATCAATGTGTTTGAGGTGGTGAATGACTTCTTAACTTGGTTTAAAAGTTCCCTTTTATAAAAGTGTTATGTGTCTAACTACTTTGAGCTTTCACTTTTCCTTACTTGTACCTTTCCATCCAGATAATCTAAGTCAGAGTCAAAATATTCCAAGGTATGCTCATGATATTAGTAACTTTAGCAACTAGAGTTGTAAGATATATTACTTGAGCAAGAAATTAAGGCAAAAATCTGCGTGCCTCATATGGGACAATTTTCAAATATGTCACCTGAGGGCTTTGGAAGATGTAGGAGCAAAAATATTCTGGAATGATGAAGGAGGACTCCATCTATCTTCTCTGCACATATTCTATACACAATGGTGGGATTCAATATTTTTTTACCACCGGTTCTGTGGGCTTGGCTTGGTGGGCGTGGCAAGGGAAGGATATTGTTAAATCTCCAGTCAGAGGTGGTATTTGCCAGTTCTCTGAAGAATTACTCAAAATTTCCGCGACCTATTCTCCAGAACTGGTTAGAACCTGCTGAATACCACCTCTGTCTATATAGTTCATGCCCTGTTTTCAGTCAGACCAGTGATATACTGTATCTGGTCATGAAGAGCAATGTCACAAGCCTGCCCCCCCCCCCCAAAAAAAAAAAAAAACCCTTAGGTGCTGAGTCTGTTGACGCCTGAATGAATGATAGGATTGTAGTCTAACTTTTAAAGAAAATCCGAGATGTCAATTATTTTCCCTAAATGAAGCTAGAAATCAATGCTATGGATCAACCTGTACAGATTGCCAGAAAGCCATGTTCAGATGGGCAGAAAATGCTAACATAATTCGTTATGTTCCATTTTGGCTCATGAAAAACTCAACCTCCTTACATACTTCAAGGGATTAGACCAATTCTGCTCCATTTCTCAGAGGGAAATTGATTTTGGGAAAATTCATTCCAGAGACTTGAACAGAACAGTTTTGAGTCAGGGATTCAACTCTTGTGGTTGAAATTCAACTCCTTGTGTAGCCTTTGAAAACACAATCCCAACTTACCTTTAACAACTGTCATGGTTAGATGGTGTGAATCAAAACAAAATTCACTTTCTAGCTGATTTACTTTCTAGTTAATTTCAGTGAAGACAAATAAAATAAACATAAACAAATAAACAAAGAATGCACAATTAATACACAGTTGCAAGTCACCCTAGCAAGCATGTTTGAATCTATTCGTATCACACTGGTCTGAGTTCCATACAATACTTCTATAAGTAGTTTCTAATGACGTAATGTAGTTTCAGTTGCTAAGTAAGATAGTGAGGGAGTAGATTTTTCTTTCAAGAAAAAGAATCAGAAAGTTTAGTTTGTGCAGTATGTATAACAGCAATAAGCAATAGATTATTACTGCAAATATACACACACACACACACACACACACACACACACATATATATATAAATATACCTAGATACATATTTTATAGCAATATAGGGGACAATCTACTAAGTGCCACTATAAGTCATAGCCATGTGGGTGGTATGTGTACAAGAATCACATGCAACTTCCATACATGTCACAAAACAATGGTGCTTAATCTGTTGCCCCCATATTCTTTTTAAAGCCATGAAATTATCTCATGTGGCATTGTAACTTGAATCCAGCCTGGAAGAAATCCCAATACGCAAGAAATGGTACTATTTACAAGAGAGACAAGAGCACGTTTGGGGATTCCGTAAAGGCAATAACAGAAAAATGATGTTCTAAGCAATAATGGTGTTTGCTTGATGTACATTTTCTGGGAGTTGTTTGGAATCACATATGATCCTAAGATGTGATTGTTAACTATTACCAGAAATCACAATCAACAGCAAAGCAACTGAGTTTAGGGAAGATACTAAGTCACTCAGGTAAAGCGAAATGCCGAGCAGCATTTATGAAAAATAAACAAATAAATAAAATCTCTCTCCACACTGGATATGGCAGATGAGATTTCCTCAAAAGCTCAAGGTCCAAATCTAATTAGTGCATGAGTGATCTACAAATGCTTAAGAAAAATATCCATGAAACTTTGAGACAACGGTCATTACTAATTACTAACAAAAGGATTCAAAATCAAGCAACTGGTATCATAAGCCTGTTGCATTATTTCTTGTTCTCCCATCACTTAAAAGGACTAGATCCCATTCTGGGGCAATTCATTTCAGAAAGGATATAATCACCATTGAGAAAAGAATGAAGGTTTGATGAATGAGGAATGATTTAACTTCTGAGGATATTTTGGTAAGCTTTGGACTTTCACAAAGTGTATACAAAGAAAAAGTGAAGAAACATGGATAATATTAAACAGTTTAAGGCTCAGAATTATCTACAAAAATAATTGTAGTCGTTATAAATAAAGGGAAATGAGTATTTAACCTTGCAAGCCTTGATTAAGATGAAAATCATTGTTGCAGAATGGCTCAAGGTCAATTTAGAAAGATGATTCATTGAAGGTCAGCTATTTCCTTAGTGTTTTAGATGTTCCAACATACATTGAACTAGAAAATTATCAAGATAATGGCCAGAACACATAGGAGTTTATTGATTGGTTGGTCAGCGAGGCTTGTTCATATCGTTTGTGAAGATAACTTTGCATAAGTAAAGCAAATTACAATGTGTTCTACTTATTGTCAACTTCAAAATAGGAATGCTGGAATATGTTACAGGCAACTTACTCTGCCATCTAATTGCTGAACCCAAATTAAATAGATTTTCAAAATCACATCAAAATATGTGTACAGCAATATTAATAACCAGTTAAATGAAAGAAATGATTGCAGATGGGAGTAGAAGGGCATGCAAGGCTGATTGTATGCAAAAAGAACAAGTTAACTAGAAGCAAAGTAATGATATGAAATGTTTCATTTTAGGAAAACTGAAAGGATAATGTCCAACTGGCATTATCTGTGTTTAAGATAGTGTAATGTAGAATTCTTTATAGCTTGGTGGTTAGAGGATGAACAGTAGCCAGTTTGACCACAGTAGATATATAAAGCATGCAGAAATTGAGTAATTCACAAACAAAGCAATAATTTGTACTTCAGTGCCCTGGTTTAAAAGGCTACTTAAATAGTAGTGTTGTTATCTAGTTCACAAGAAGAAATACCACAGTCCTTGCCTTGAATTTGTGCCCAGTTTTTGGATGACCAAAAAGGATATTAATTAAGTAGAATGTTTATGATGAAGCTCCCAGATACCATATCCTAGAAAGAAATATTAAAGAATCGGGTATGGTTAGTCTAGAAAAAATAGTATGGAGAAGCAATCAAATAGCCATATTCAAATGTCTGGAGTGTTTTTAGAAAGATGAAGGAATAAAATTGGCTTTACAGAACAAAAATTAATTATTTCCATCTGCCGGAAACCATATAGGTTTTGTGCAGCGTGTCAAACTTGAAAGTAGAAAGAATTCAAAAGTGGCTCATATTTGGGGTAGCATGGGGCATGATAGAGGTTTTTTTTTTTAAGGTAAAATAAGTATCTCCAAAC